CATATCCTATCACGTGCCAAGAAATTGCTCAATTTATTTATCGTATTGTTACGTAAATAAAAAAAATAAAAAAATATAAAAAAGAATAATATAAAAAATCGATCAAAATCATTAAGATAATAAATAAAATAAATGTATCAATTGCAATGAGAAATGATGTAGATAGAAAAGCAACGACGGGAGAGGGGAGAGGAAAATTAAATTGCCGAAAATAACGGCTTAAAATATTTTACCGTAAGAAAAACAGCTTGAAATTTTGCCGTGCCCAATATAGGAGGTAGAAAAGTGAAGAAATAAATAGCGAACTGAGATTGTTTTCGATTTGCAGTCCAAAGAAGTCCAAGGGATGCGACAGCGAGGAGGATGATATGTCCGTTCACGAGGAGGAGTTCTATTACCAGGAAGTTGCCGCGGATCACATGAGCTCACCTCCTACGATGTCTCACCGGGATATGGCGAGACCGCCGCACGAGGATCCGGAGTACCAGAAGCAGCTCCGTCTCGAGACCACTCCCGCCCCGAGTAACTACATCGAGAACGTAATGGTCGGTGTCAGGGAGCCGAGCAACGCGTTTACGATCTCGCAATCGCCGGTAGGTAATCGCGTGGTAGACTGTAAACCGGTACCGTGAAAAATACGGAGCTCCCGCTCTAAATTTGTTCCTTCCTGTGTGTGTGTGTGTGTGTGTGTTTCAGGGTACGCCGAATAAACACATCAAACTATCCCCGCGGCCATTGCAGGCGTGTCATCAACAGAACATGACAGCGTCCACGGGCAAGCCGTCCTCCCCGCGGCGAACTCGCAGCGACGTTAAAAAGTGTCGCAAGATCTACGGTATGGATGCACGTGACCTCTGGTGCACTCAGTGCAGATGGAAGAAGGCTTGCACCCGTTTCTGCAGCGACTAGGCCAAGCGTCCGCCCCGTTCGTACGTCCGTGGGCGGAAACCCTTGTCGAGTCGACCCCAGAGTTTGCCAATGCTACGTTGAACGTTAACACCAACTGCCAAATGCCAATCACCGTCGAAGATACCGGCGTTGAAAAAAGACTCCCCACATTCGGAGCATAAGAAACGCGCGAAATATCCGCCAATTATCCGCCGGTTCTAGCGAAAGGGGGTTACCCTACGAGTTATTCCAGCACGTATGTACGTGCCGGTAAAACGGCTCTCCGATGAAAGAGCAAAATGCGAAACTCGTAAAAGTAGCATCTCATTCTCTTCTGTCAATCTTTCCGAGACGACATGCACGAGTTTCGAAGAGGCACGTCACTTTCGCGATTATTACAGTTGACGGATAGTTCTAAAGATCCGATATTCGTGCATGATGTAACATCTTTCTAGTGCTCATAGAGGAAGTTAACGACGTAAGATTTATCTGAACGATTTCCGCCCGTTCGTATTTTGCACTTGGCAAACTCCGACCGGGTCCCTTAATCGCAACGAGGGACTTTTCGATTAATAGATAGCGAATAACCGGCGTGCGGGGCGAGGCGACCTCAAAACCATTGTTGCACTCACTCGCTCCCATCTCGCCTGACAAAGAGAACCTTTTGGTTCGGTACGAATGAGATACGCACTCGCACTCGGAGCGAGCAAGCATGTTCTTCGAAGTGCTGATTCCCGAACCGCCTCTTAGGTCATTGCAATAGATCTTCCTTCTTCCGCTAAGAGCGCGAACGTTAACGCGCTCTCGGTAATGATGGAACTGAAGGCGCCGCGTCGAATCCTCAGGGATTCGAGAACAGGATGATCCCTGGGGAACGAGCGATCGAGTCTAACGGACGAAGGGAGGACCGGCGAATCGATGCTCGGTCTGACCCGATGTTCAATGCTAAAACGAACGCAGACAAGCAAGATTGGTAAGTCTCGCGTGGTACAGAGCTGCTAATTGTGATATTGTATCTAAATTTATTGGATCTGCCGCGAATCGAGCAGGAGAGCGCAAAGGCGCGAAGAAATGAGAGGAGAAAAAAAAAGAGGAAACCAAAATTTATACACCAATTATACTGCCAGATAAATAATTCCAAAAAAAAAATTAGTTGTTCAAGCCTCTCTTTCGCGCGTTAAAGAGGCACTATATGTTGTGCACGGCATGCGTCGCCGTATACAATCGGGCTTAGCCTTGTTAGCCTTCTGACGACCTAAGACCGTGTTCGCCAACAAAGGAGCTGCACGCGCGTATTGGGGGTAGGCTACGCAGTTGAATCGATCGATCTAAGATTTAATGAAGGCTTCGCTCCAGATCGTACACACACACACACACACCACACACACACACACACACACACACACACACACACACACCACACACATATCATATATATATATATACTTACATATACCATACTTACGGTCGCGACGTACGCGAAAGAAAAATGACATCACTATTTATATAGTTTACTACTTCTTCACTCATGCTCCTTTCTCACTTTGGGCCGTTCGCGGGATGATTTATCGAATCGATTATTTCGAAGTACATTTGATCTCGATAATTTTTCTAATGTAACGATAACGAATAGACTTTTGCAAATTTTATACGTTGACGAATTTCATGATACAAACTGTGCAACTCGTGTTCTGAAAAGATTCAGTGTTAAAGGCTCCCGATCTTTCATCGTAATCGATTGGATTATGTCGAAACGAATTTTCGACCTTTTTTCGAAAATCACATTCTTACTTTCTCTAAGTCAAAAAAAATCTATTTGAATATAATTCGTATTATATAGATTAAAATACAATTGTTACTTATGTTATGTGTATATGTACTTATTGTTTGTAGACATGTATAAATAATAATATATATATATATATATATATATATATATATATATATATTTATTTATAAATTTCGTATATGTTAAATATACTATTTATAAAATTATTTTAACTATCTTTATATAAAATGTTGCACTGTTAAATTAAAATTTTTTATTAAAAAATTAATAATTAAATGTATATAAAATTCAAAAAATTTTATATATTCTTACGTTTTTGTGTAGTCGAATTCAGCTGGTGTGAGGAGTAAGGAGCCTTAAACTTTTAACGCAATAAATGACAAAAATATTTCATATTTGATGGAAGAAAATCGGTGAGATGTCGCAACATATGCTATATTAAAAGAATTTCATAAAAAGCGACACTCGTCAATAAAAGTTTCTTCCAATTTCGTTGTTCGTACGTTAGTATAATTATCTTGTATATTTAGTATAATTATATCTTGTATATTATGTCACTTGTATATTACGTATATTGTATAGTCCCTCGTTTTTTTATAATTATGAACATAATGTATTAAGAATTAGCATGTTGCTGTTGTTTATTAATAATCAAGACACGGAGGTTTAGATTTTATTAGTATAATAAGTGTCAATTCTGTTGATGGATTGCGCTAACCCAAACTCGATGAATGATTCGAGAGTATACCTCGGAAAGAGATCGATAAATCTCGGTTTGTACCTTTGTGTTCAAAAGCATCGCGTTGTCAGTATTTCCCGACTTTTTATCAATATCATATCGTATTATCTATACTTTTTTAAAAAATAAAATCATGATTTTTTTTTAAATTACTACTTACAACAATTGCTATTTAACGCAATGTTGTCGTCGCACAGAAAAGATTTATTTCTTTTTATATAAATTCGAATAATCTATTCGAAAAACTTGTTCTATTTTATGTGTTTACTCAAATAATAATCATAGTGTTCATAGAGTTGATGTGCTGTTGAAATCTTGATCATCGTCAATTTTTTACACTCGTAATGTCGTATTCGCAATCATGTATAAAAGTCGTTATGAAGTACTTGGAAGATAGAATTACAAGACATACCGTTACAGATAGCATAGAGAGTAATTGCCGTCCATGTAGGTTTCTTATTACTGTCAAAATTGTTACGCTCGATTACATAGACACAATTTACCGAGGACAATATGCAAACGGAAACTGCTAAAAAGTGATATTATCATTTAATATTTAATTATTAATATGACTTTTCTGCTGTCATTTTATTCTATGCGATCTGTACATATAATATTGACAAGTGCGGCGATAACATTGAAACTTTTAATACCGAAGAGAAATTACTTGTAAAATCTTACAAGGTTTATAAATTTTATATATAGTTTTATCATTACTAATTTTTTATGTCTAATTCTTCTTTAAATTTCAGCATTTTTTGTATTTATATTTTTATTCATGTCTTTGAACGTACAATTGGCAGCAGATATGGCTTCATTCTGATTAACTTTCAAATTAGTTACATCAATATAAGGGTTGTATTTAATAAAATAATATTTGATAAAAGTTTGAATATTAAGAAATAAATAATGAATTATATAGCTATAAATTGAAGGAAAGCTGAAAGCTGAAACTAAAAGAATAATTTAAATTTTTTGATCAACGTAATCATAAACGCACGAATCTAAGTTCGTTTGATGTGAAGACATATGTGACGTCAAGTGTACCGAACTTTAAGGAAGCGTCAAAACAAAAATCAATTATTCATGAAACAGCAAATGATGACGTTGGGGATCG